TGTTTCTAAACAGACCCAATTTAATATAGCTAAAATCAACAACAAAAAAAACGAAAACAAGACAAGATTTTGAGTGTACAAGATGTTTTCTTAAAGGCATTTAAAAGACATCACTCCTTACAAACTCTGCCTCCCCAACATCCTTATCAATACATTTGTATCACAGCCACAAGGACACACCGTAAAGTATGTGATGTGTGAAACTCAGAAACATGATTCAGACTGCCATATGCAGAGAAGTTGTTTATGCAGTCCTGGGCTGAATGCACCCAGGAAAAGCTGGAGGGAAAATTCACGTAACAGGTAGCCTCATCAGGTGGTTTGAAAGACTAAAAAAGGCTAACTAAGAGGTTTAGCTTTCTCACCCTAATAAATCCTATTTGAAATCAATGAAAAAACATCTCGATGCTTTCCTGTTTAGTGTTGAAAATAAGGGGAGCTTTCCTGATCATTAAAGAGTTCTCTATCAATTTTAACTCACAATAAATTTTTAACCTACTCACCAAGAGTACTAATGGTCTTTACAAAAATGGCTTTAGTCTTCCTGTATCTCTATGAATGAGATATTCCCATTTCTACACAGGAAAACTGAGTACACAGAGGTTTACTGACTGCAAGACACACTTCATTCTCGATAGTCAAGACTGGTGCCACAGATCAGCTTGTTCACCAGTATGTATTACTATTGGTCTTATAAAAAGCTCTAAATGGGCAAGCACAGGCAAGATGAGGAATTTGAACCTATCTGAACTGCAGGTAAGTCCAGTGGTTTTACTTCACTGCCCTGTGAATCAGTAATTTTCAAGGTCCTGTCTTATTTTGACCACTAATGCTCTCCAACTCCCCGTATTTAAATTGAGTTCTAATGTGTTATGTTAGATTGAATATTTCGCACTATTGTTTCCACTATTCATTGGAAATTTGAAGGAAGTTATTTTTTATGTCCTTTGAAGATGTTATTTTAAGCCAAGCTGACAGTGTTCATAATATTTCAAACAAGCTGACAGATTGTTCTGCTAATGTGCACTGTAAATGCACATGTACGTGAACCTTAAAGAAAAACCATGCACTGACAACATATGTGAGAAAATAACACAGATTTATGACAAAACGAAAAAATCCTCTGAGGCAGGTGATTATAATGGATCATGATCATGCTGAGGAAGTTTGGAGAAAGGCAAGGCAGAGCTGGAATGCATTTGGCTAACTTCAGCATTAGCAAGTTACCAATGACAGTGTCACGAAGACAAAAAAAGTCTTCCTCCAAAAGTTCCAAAAGTGTTTTTACTCTCCCTACATACAGCTGGGAGATTTGGAATTGCACCAAAAAAACAGTGGAAGCAGAAAACTGAATGAAACACTCATGGTGTGCATTGCTAGTCAGAACTAAAGAAGGGAATTGATTATGCACCAAAATCACTCCCTAGGCACAACAACATAATTAAAAAACCTCAGATACTGAGGTGGCTCTAAGTGGCTTGGAAAAAACAAGTAACTCATGACCCTAACTTACAACAAACAGCTACTTTGACTTCAGCAGGGGTGATGAAACATGGGATAGAAAAGATCTTGTTCCTTTCTAAATAATTAAAAAAAAAATCAAATAATTGTTTAATCACATCATTCTGGACCAAGTTCTACACTACTGAGCGGCAAACAGACGTGACACCACAGTGGTGATGGGGACGCCACTACACAATAGGCTGATTTTTAATTTGTCAGCCCTTTAACAGACACATCAGTAGGATCCCTGTAGTCAGGTGTAAAGCTATCAAGCCATGTGTGGAATAGAGGATAATAAACCTATAACCAGCAGTCAGAAACTATGGCTAAAGTGGCCAAGGAAGATTTCTTGGAGATTCGTCAGGGAGCTTCTGCCACCTCGTAAAGTGGTACAGTCTTTGTGAACCCCCAGAGGAAGAGTGGCTTCCAGCAGCACTGCAGCAGTGTGCCTGTCTCTAACCAGTGCCCCTTGGCTCTAGCAAAGGACGTTATCAGTCCCTCCTTCCTATCAGGGTGTCCACTTCTGCCCTTGGTACTGCCGCTTTCATGACCCTTCTCCTGTGGGAAAGTAGGGACTTCAAGTTTTCACTGAAGCAAACAAACTTCCCGCTCTCTGAAGTGGGCTCTGTGTTTGACAGGACTTTTTACTCCTGTCGAAAATAAATGTGTCTAAAAACCTCTACAGACAGCAGGATAACAGGCACTATGGATAGCACATAGTATGAGCTGTAATATCTGGTAGGAACACCTTACTGGATTTAGTTTGTGCTGTTGCTGTCATATGCAGGAACAGTGGTATGAAATGTCATTTATATTTTTGCTTAAATGCAAAAATAGATCCAGACAGTCAAAACAGGCCTTTATCGGACCAGCTCTGCCATGACACTACGGTCAACTAAGTTACAGTTAACTTTAAACGCCTTCCTGAATCTTTCTTCCTGCTGCATATGTGCCAAAACCATAGTCTAAAATAATAATGCCAGAATAATTTCTAACTGATCAAGTATAAGAAATTATAGCAACTATTTTCTGCTTTCAAACACTAATGACTTTTGTTACAGACTCAATAGAGCCTTCTCAAGTTAAACACAAATGCTGTCTTAATTTTGACTTGAAACAGATCTATACTGTAGTACAGCAAAATCTTGTGTATACAGCTCTACACTTGTTTCAGCAAAGTCAAATGATATTTGCTGGATAGGAAATAAAAAAATTCTTCCTCAAAAATTAGAATTTAATATTTCAACTATATATTTCCTCAAGCAGTTTAACCCTCACCTCTTGATTCTCCACAGATTTACATATTTGCCTGTATTACCTGCAGTTCGTACCCCCAAAACAGTACCGCTTTGTCATGACTTAACATTTTCTTGTTCGCCTTTGCAAGCTCCTCTGCATCCTGTCAGGCCAGTAAGGGTTTTCATCATTCCAGTGCAGGAGTCAATCCCATCCTCCTTTTTCTAAATTCTACTTTGAACACATGTTCCTTTTTATTTTTTTCTTATCCCTTCTCCACACCCCAACTGTAACATGAATGCTTTTTCTTTTTTTAATTATTTCATCAAGATGTCTTTTGAAATGCCCGATTTTAACTACACACAGAGATTTCCAGAGGGTACCAGCAGTTTTAGGTTAGAATGTCACTAAAAACCCAATTTACACTGTTCCTTTACACAAAAATCTTGTCATTTCTTAATGACACCAACAAAAGCAAAGGCAAAAATTCTTCAGGCTTTAAAAATAGAAATCCACACTACCAACTTCATTTTCCACTTCATTTCCATAGGAAATCACTTCATCTTGCATTGTTATACAGGGGTCACCAGTTGGAAATTGCACAAGATGCACAGGATATATCTTTGAATTATTCATAATCACCTTAAACTGCACTCAATCAGCTTTGTAATATGTCATCTTATAGACACACAAAAGTTCAAAAGGAAAAGCACATGAAAAAGCAGACTACCAAGAGCACTATTGTTAAAACTACACCAGAAAGCTTAATATTTCAATACTGTGTATGTTAAAATAAACAACATACACAGGTGATGAAAGCCAGTCTCTGAAAAATTTATTATTCTGTTAGAACAAGTTTACAGTTCGCATGAATTCTCAAGCTTCATGTCATTAGGAAGTTTTACTGGGTTTATAGTGGAAATAAAAACAGAAATAAAAATAGATGGCAATCCCAAAATACAGGCTGTACTTTGAATATGATCAACGGGCTTTCTTTTCCTTTTTCATCTATAGATTTCCTCTTGCCTCCAGCAATCAAATTTTATTCAATCTTCATGAAAAGTTCCCTAAATTGCCTGTTTTCTTTTTAAAATCAAAATTTTTGAAAGATGAAGTTGAACAGACTAACGTAACTTGTATTAGTTCAGTATTATTTCCCCAAAGCCATCCTATTGGAATTGTATGGCTTTCAAGACTCATGATGTCAGCTGGATTCAAAGGATCCTGCCCCCGCGCCCCATCCTACCTCCCTCCCTCCATTTCCTCTGTAATCTTACTTTGGCTTCCAAAAAAATAGACCTTAATCTCATTTTCTCTTCCTATGCATGCTGTAAGTACTTAGCCCATTGAAGCGAAAGGGACTGTGTATCAATTCTTTGGGTAAGATGGGCATATAGGAGATATGGATGATTATTACGATGATTAATTTTAAAAGCAGAAAACTTTGCCTGCTGAATTTGCACTCAACATTGCAAAATGAAACTCCTGGAATTTGACTGGTTTGTACACTACTGCACAAAGCAATAGGGAGCAGATTGCTCTAAGCTTCAAATTATAAAGTCGTAGCAAGAATTGTACATATTCTTTGTACATAAGATTCATAACAATTGGAAATTCAATTTTAAGTTCAATATGAACAGAAGAAATTACAGAGTATATTTCATAATTTTAAAGAATTTGAAATAGTTCCCATTCTGACTCTGACCACACTGCATTTACATAAATTGTTCAAATTTGCCTCAGTGTTAATTTTTAAACATTGGACAATGTAACAGCGTTTGGCTTTTAATGCGCAGCATTACTCTTATTATCATCTACTTGCATGCTAATCTCCTCTGCCTATTATCTGGATGAATACCTATTTTCAGTGTGCAGTTTTATGAGTTATTGCTTAATGTATTCAATATCTCAAAATATGAAAGTATACACTTTTAATTACATAAGAACCAACAAGTAATGACAGCTTTTTTCAAAAACATCACATCATAAATGAATAATAGTCTAAATATAGGTATGTGGCCATCTTTTTACTCAGTGTTTTGAACTGAAGAGCAGCACACCAAATGATCAGTTGTAATGAGGAAGAAGGAATATTAAATTTTGTCTATGAGTTATTTAGTTTTCAGGGGCAGGAGGGGGTGGGTGGGAAAAGGTGGGTGAATAGAATGTAAGTATAAAAGTACCAAAATTGATTTTATCAGCTTCAACATTCAACACTTGATATATTAGAAGCATATATTGTTTTCAAATACTTGACTTACACTCATATTCCTATCCCAGATCTGGATGGAGCCATCTTGACAGCCAGCTGCAATAAGTCTGCCATCTCTGCTGTAAGTGCAAGTTGTAGGAATCACTCGTTTACCTTGAACTGATCGTGGTTTAAATACACTCTTGTGCTTTTTTTCATTGTTAACATCCCACGTCCTCACAGTTCTGGAAAAAGGTTTAAGTAAAGAGTTGTTTTAGATAAAGTTAATACATATGAAATAATAATTCTTATCATATACCCAAACACCTTTTTCAGCATAAATGGCATATAATATTGTTCAAATAAAGCTGTAATGGCAAAATAGCATTTAAGATATGGTATGGCAGTCATGAAACCAATATGACAAGTAAGAAACACCATATTCACTAACGTGCATGTGTGAAGATTAAAAAAAAAAAAAATCAGTTCTTTGCAAACTCTCATGTAAATACATATTTACAACTGGACAAATGACCAAAGGTTAATATGCAGGTAATACATAGTCTCCACAGTCACTGGAAATCAGGAAGATGAACGTAATTAGTCCTTTACAAGAATGAAGACTTCAGGAAACAGGCATGAATGCTTATACAAATTCATTACCTAAACAGATTGTCTTAATTGTTCTGACATGACAACAACTGACAAACCTGCTTTTAACTGGCAGTACTGCAGACTGGCTGGTTATTCTTGAGACTTTTCTTTATTTTAAATAATTAATTGCAATATTATTGTAGTTCTCTTCCACAAATCCTGAAGGTCTTAAGAGTTCTGTTGTGAAACTGTTCTTCAAAAACTTTACAAAGACTCATTTGTGTACTATTGTTTTCTCAAGTTGAGTTTTTCCGACATTATTAGCAAAATAAATAGATCTTTTTTCTTTTTAATGGAAAGAGAGTATCTGCCTGGATCTTCAATGTTTCTTAGATACACAAAAACATTCAAATGAGAGAGAACTAAAACACTGAGATACAGGTGGACTCTTTAAACTGTCTCAGATACAAATGTTTTCTGTCCATACAACATGTTGAGTTCTTTCCAGATAAAAATTCAAAACTCTTCTGGCATCTAAAGCAGAGAAGAGTCTAAGGATTTGGCAAAGGAAGGAAGATCATTAATTGAGAAAGAAAAAAAATCACTAAGTTCTCAAGACAACCTCATTTGTTTAGACTATACAAACATTGCCTATGATCCAACAGCACGTAATTCACTGGTCTCTAGCAAAGGCTACAGAGCTGATATATATACATAATTCTAGGATAAAACAGACAAGAGAATGAGCTGGAAATAGCTCATAGTAGTTATATTTAATTGCACATTTAATGACAGTAATGAGAAATCAATAACTGAAGTAGAATGAATCTCCAGTTGTCCATAATAAAGTCATGATTAGTCTCATTTTTAAAAGTCTTCAAATCTCGTATCTGTAAGGCATCAGTTTATTGCTCTACTTCGAGATCTAGCATAAGACATTCAAGTGTTCTGATGGTTGGTTTGGGTTTTGTTTCGGTTGTTGTTTTTTTTTTTAATTTTAAATGAAACATTAGATTATGGTGTATTTTCTAGGGTCACTGAAATAAATCCATGCTGCTACATGGAACAGGTTGCCCAGCAAGGTTATGGAGTGGCCTTTCTTGGAATCATTCAAAACCTGTCTGGACATGGCCATGTGCTATGTGCCTAGCTGATACTTCTTTGAATAGGATGGTTGGATTAGAGGATCTTCAGAGGTCACTTCCATCCTCAACCACTATGGGATTCTGAGATTCCCCTTTTCCTCTCCATGTGTTGTCAATAACCACATCAGTCTCCTACCTTTCAAGAGGCACATTGACACTTTCTCCCATTATGATATTTACTCAAAACCCGAGTCTTTTTCCAGACCCTTTCCCTCATAACATTCAGTCCTCCAGAATTTCATTTGAATATTCTGTACCTCCAGCCTCTCTTCCTCCTCTTGTGATGACCATCTCATCAGTGGCATACCCACTTCTCAGATGGTGTACCTAGTAACATGGTATGTGCAGGGAAGTCTAAAGCATGCCGCTCCCCATTTGCCTTTTTATCTAAGATGCCTCACAAGCATCTCCATTGCAATTCCAAAAACAATCTCTGAGAATCCTTCATCAACCTAATTCTTCATTTCTGCTGGCACAGAAAGAATTTTTTAAAGCCTTCAGTGTCCTCTCTTCAGGGCTCAATGTCCTGTCAAAACCTCAGTCACTTCACAACACTATAGGACTTATTCAAACCTTCGTATTCATTTTACCTTTCAACTGTAAAGAAAGAGGTAACACTTGTAGAGTTACTTGAGCTGCTGCTTCTGCTGCAGACAGCTGGCCACACTCCCTCACATATGAGTTACACGCCCTGTAAAAAATGCCCACATAGCCTATACTATGTGTTTAATGACCTCTCAATGTTTCCTTAATGTTCCCACAATGAATGTGTGTTTAGTGTTGCCTTGTGGCTACTGGATCTAACTATAAAACTTTTCTACTAAAATGAAGAAATCTTTTGTAAGAAATCAACTATATATATTTCTCACAAATTGATCAATCATTCCCAGAGAGCCCTTATCTCTTGAGCTAAGACTGAGCTCTTTAATCTCTTTTTTTTACATCAGAACTTTTAAGTATTTTCATTCTTAATGGAAACATTTCCAATTTTTATTAAAATTACTCATAATACCATGGACAAAATTTCAGCTTACTACATGAATGGATATTAAAATTACTCGTAATACCATGAACAAAATTTCAGCTTACTACATGAATCAATCGGCCCACGGTTTCTCACTTTCCACCAACCAAAACATTAGGAGTCATCTATAAATGATATATCTTTTCTATTTTCCTTCAGACCAGTGATGAACTAGAAACGCAGGGATCACTGAAGGACCTCAGAGAGATACTTTCACTACCCCATTCTAAGGGCCTTCATCACACAGTCTGACATAGACCAATTCGTTCTGACATTCCTCTTTTACACTCCATGCTCTGTCAATACCTACGTGAGCATCCCATCTCTTCTTTCAGCAGGCACTTTGATGTTTTCCCCCCATCTACTGTATACACTTGAAACTAACTTGAAACCTTTTTCCAGTCCCTTTTCTTCACAATACCTAATACTTCTTAATATTTAACTCCTCCCATTCTAGCCAGCAGAAAAGGGGATAAACAAGAAAGGAAGCACAGAAACCCAAACAATTTACCTTCAGGGAACATGTCTTTAAACTGGCAATACGGCAAACAAATGTTAACTAAGGCTGCTTCTGTATTTTCTCTTCCCTTCTGCTACTGACCCTCAATCACCATACCATATCACAGTTAACTCAGAGAGCCGAATTCGAAATTATGCATCTGTTTTTTTACAGAATATTTTGTACCATTTAATGGTTCTTCCTCCTCCTCAGACATAGCAAAAAAATAACTAAGATTGCATTACAAAAGTTTCATTTTCACTTCCTAAACTACTCTGGGTCCAATCTAATGTTGTTTGTGTTGAAACAAATAAAAGAGTTTACCCCTGATCACATGAGTTCCAGGTCAAAAAAGTGCCCTCCTTTTACTAAGAGTATCTCCCTAGGCCTAAATAAGTGTGGGATGAAATAACAACATTGTTTTATGCTCGTGTTGCAGAATTTAGCAAAAGTACAATACTAATATTTATCTGTTGATAGGTATAACCAACATATTTTTGCATTCCACTGAAAATAAAAGGAAAACATTTCCTGAATGAGGCTTTTTTCCACCTGAAAATGAGCTATGTTTAATTAAAGTTTGTTCTTTTGTAAAAACAACATATAGGGATTTTTCTTTAAACTATCCCTCCAACATATAATCTTGTTATTTCATCACATCAAATACGCACAGCCACATAAATATTTTTAATTTCTCTTTCATAAATTTTTTTCAAAGAAAATTTCCATGAAAAAGGCTCCACATACACAAGTTTAAATTTAACTTTTTAAGTGGTGGATTCCACATCTGCAAAACAGATTTTGTAAAGTTCTTATATTTGCCAAGAGCAATTCAGAGTGACTTAGAAAAGGATGGGAATGTTCTTTTGGAAAGGTAATGTGGATATTTTCCTGACCACTGAGAAGTTAAATGACCCATAATAAACAACTAACTAAATTACTGGGATTCAGGAGTGGTTTGGTGGGGTTTTTTTGGGTTTGGTTCCCCCCCTTCCACCCAGATGGTTTTTCTGTTTTTTCCTGTTTTTTCTAATGTTCTTATACTGTTATTACTAAGTCAAAATTTCTAATAAAATTAATTATTGACAATGCTGCTGTATTACACAAATTATTAAAGGTATTTATGTAGCTGCATTTCCCAGTCTGCAAGCATGGAAAACTTCTCTAAGTCCTGATTCAGCAAGCCACTGCCCAGTCTAATACAATTCTAATACAATCTGCTGAAATTCAAGGAGTGAACTAATTCAAACATTAAAAGCCTGACCTGTCAAATTCCACTAAGCTTCTCTGCCGGTCCCATCTCCTCTGTTTCTACTGGACTCCAAAAATCTCTTGCACAATACTGAATGTTATTGGCATTTAATACAGTATAAATATATGACATCTACTCTTAATTATTAAGTCTATTCTTATCACACTTAAAATACAAAGAAAGCAACAGAATACAATATTGCTAAAAGTACAGATCAGGTTTAATGTTGCATATCTAGTAACTATATTATAATGCTTATCTTTGTAATATATTATAATGTCTACCTTTGTAATATAAGGTTGCCCAAAAAGGCTACTTCGGAAAGCTATAATATACATTAAAATCGCCATACAAATACTGCTGCAATGGAATTTATCAGCGGAGCACAGAATTCCAAGTCATCTTATAAGTGACAGAAAACAGATTTTTAGAAGTGTTAAATTAAGACTCTTTATAAAAAAGTGCTCTTAAAGCAAGACTTTAAAAATCTTTTTTATGATATAAAACAACCATACCTACACAGGAATGAAATGAAGATGCTTACATAATAGGGTGAAAAATTACCTAGAGAAGAGTATGTAAAGAGAATATATAGATAAGAAATAGCTGAAAAGTTCTGTCAAAATGCTCTTCGTGCATATGGTAGTACAAGACTACATCAGCAAGAAAACCTTCATTATTGTATTCTCTTTGCTCTCCTTCTACAGAAGTTATAGTCGTCCTGTGTTGAG